GAAGTTCTGTTCCGCTGGCTGAGGCTGGGCGAGGGGTTCACTTCTCAGCCTTGGTTTCCTCATCTGTGAAATGGGGACAATGCTAATCCCACCCCCGGGCCAGCCGTGCGATCGGATGGGTTACGCAGGGGACAGCGCCTGCCCGTGCCTGGGGCACCCGCACGCAGCGGCTGCGGCTCCTCTGTCCCTTGTCGGGGAGCAGAGGCCGGAGGCGGTGTCCGTCGGGGCTCCATCCCCGCTGATAAGCGCGCGGGGCCTCGCTGAGTGGGAGAGAGAGGACTCAGCAGCTTCCAGGGCTGGCGACGTTCCCCAGGGGCCCGGCCGACGCCGGCTTCTTAGGGGAACCCGGAGCCAGTCTTTTCTCGTAAGCGGGTCGTTCTTCGTACAGTGAGCGCCGCCTGGACTGCAGTCATGTTTGGGTCAGGCAGCGTCCGCATCCTCCTCCGGGAAGTGGCCGTGGGAATAGCACCAGCTCATAGGCCAGCCGGTCTGTCCTGTTCCGTTTGAACCCCAAAGTCAAATCCCGACAAATTTGTTAGCATTGTGACCTTGGACAGTGTAACAAGCCTCAGTTTCCTTGTCCGTAAACTGGGAACAGTGACTGTATCTTCCTTGCTCCGTCCTAACACATAGCACTTGCTCGAGAAATGGGAGTTGAGTGAAAATAACAAAAATAAGTTTAAAAAGGAAAAATTACGTTGAGCCAATTTGGGCGTAAGAGGCTGTAACCTGACTTTCCGAGGGTGTCCCAAAACTAAGGGGGGCGTTTTAAGAAGGAGGGGGTCCACCTGCAGACGTGTGGCTAAGCCTGTGGTACATCCATGCAACGGAGTGTTACTCAGCCACGAAAAGGAACGAAGTCCTGACACGCGCTACCACGTGAACGAGCCTCAAAAACATCACGCTAAGTGAAAGCAGCCGGGCCCAGAGGCCATGCACTCTGTGCCCCACTGACACGCAATGTCCAGGGCATGTAGTTCACGGAGCGGAAAGTAGAAGAGAGGCAACCACGGGCTGGTGGAGGGGGGATGGGGCACCTCATTTCTGTTTGGGGTGATTAGACAGTTTTGGGATTAGAGAGGTGATGGTTGCACAACCTTGGGAATTTCTTTAATGCACTGAATTGTTTACTTAAAAATGGTTGGAATAAAAATGAGGAGGAGGGTGCGCTGGGAGGCTGCCTGGGGGTGGGGGCTCCCCCTGACCTCTCCCTGCTGTGGCCCCGCAGGGTGGACGAGGTGAACTGGTCTCACTGGAACCAGAACTTGGGCATCATTAACGAGGACCCGGGCAAGAACGAGAGCTACCAGTACTACGGCTTCTCCCACACCATGGGCCGCCTCCGGAGGGGTGAGCGAAAGGACGGGGGGTTGGGGAGCCGACGCAGGGCGCAGAGGGGCAGCCCTGGGCCAGTCCCATCACTAATTGGCTTGGAGCGATCCTGTCCTCTCTGAGACTCGGTGTTCCCGTCTGTGGAATGGGCGGGTCGGATGAGCTGCCCGCTGAGTGCCTTTGCTGCCGTGCATGCCTGGGCCCCCTTCCACACACGAAGTGCCTGAGACGCGAGAGGACGGCGTGCTCAGGTTCTCGCCTGAGTTCATTTGCTCCTGGACAAGCGCCTTGACCTCTCTGAGCCCAGTCTCCACCTCTGTGAAATAGGGACGATGAGACCTCCCCCCTTAGGTCACTGTGGAGAGCCTGGTACACAGTAGGCGCTCCATAGGTGCACGCGCACTCCCCACCAACTCTCACTTCCCTGTGCTTACTCCAGATCGCTGGTCCTCCGTGGTGCCGCGAGTGGTGGAACTGAACAAAAACTCGAACCCAGATGGGTCGGATGAGCTGCCCGCTGAGTGCCTTTGCTGCCGCGCATGCCTGGGGCCCCCTTCCACACACGAAGTGCCTGAGACGCGGGAGGACGGCGCGCTCAGGTTCTCGCCTGAATTCATTTGCTCCTGGGCAAGCGCCTTGACCTCTCTGAGCCCAGTCTCCACCTCTGTGAAATGGGGACGATGAGACCTCCCCCCTTAGGTCACTGGAGAGCCTGGTACACAGTAGGCGCTCCATAGGTGCACGCGCACTCCCCACCAACTCTCACTTCCCTGTGCTTACTCCAGATCGCTGGTCCTCCGTGGTGCCGCGAGTGGTGGAACTGAACAAAAACTCGAACCCAGATGAGGTGGTGGTGCCTCTGGACCACATGGGGAACCCCAGCTGCGACGGCCACCAGCAGAGCTACCCCCCCAAATGGAGGACTGATGACGCCCCCCTCTAGGGGCTGCAGGCAGGGGCATGGTCTCCGGCCTGCAGCCACCCCCTTCCCCTCCACCCACCATTTCCAGTCCACCTGCATTTCCGCCACATGTCCTGTTGACCCAGAGGTGAGGGCCAGGCAGACGCCAGGATGGCCCTAGGACCCTCTGGCCCCAGACTCCTGCCCCAGCTCCCCACCCCTCCACCCTCCACACCCAGGCACAGGGCTCCTGGCCGCCTGTCTCACTCCCATGGAGTCACATAAGCCAAAGCCGGGCCTCCCGCCCACAGGGGCTCCCCAGTCCCTCCATTATTTATTTGTTCTGCTCTCAGGAAAACAGCATGACACCCCCACCCCCGCCCCCCAATGGAACCTGGCAGAGGCCTCAGGACCCTGTTCCAGGTCCCAGGTGCACCGCGGGCCCAGCACCCACCCCATCCTGCGTCCTGGGCTGCACACAGCACCGGGAGCTGCAGTGAGGGGCCTTGTAGGGAGTGGGGGGGAGGCCGGTCCGGGGCGGGGCCGCGCCTCTATGCATCTGTAGAGGGGCTGGGGTTTGCTGGTGCTCAATAAAGGTTCGTTCACTGATGGTGGAGGTGGTGGGGCGATGGGGGGTGGTGACAGGCACAGGGTGGCAGGAGGGAGATGGGAGCGCTAAGAAATGCCTGTGGGGTGGGGGAGGTGGAGCCGAGGGCAGTTGCAATGGCCCAGATGGTGGTTAGGGTAAAGGTTGGGGGCCGGACAGGAGGTGGTGGTGGTGGCCTGAGAGATGGGGTGATTGGAGTGGTGATGGGGAAGGTAGAGAAGGGAATGGAGGAGAGAAATGCTGGAGGGGAGTGTGAAGCTGTGTTGATGGGGGAATAATGCTTCCTGGGAAGTAGTGAGTATTGGGGTTCCGTTTGTGGGGAGGGTAATGCTCACCAGAGGACAGAGGTCACACTGTGCTGGGAGCGGGGTGGGGGGAAGGAGAGCTGCAGGGAGGGCGGAGCAGAGGCGGAGGTGACAGCTCTGGCCAGGTGAGCCCTCTGTCAGAGGCAGGAGAGGATGTGTGGCCTCAGGGAGGCCGTCAGAGGCGGCACTGGTGAGAGTGCTTGGGGCCTGGGGAGGGATGGGCCCTGCCTCTCTCAGGGGCCCCATCCCAGCAGGGCTGTGCACGTGAGTGAAGCTGAAGGCAGACCCGTTCCCCTGCCAAGGGCAGCCGTTCACCTGGGGTCACTCACCCTGCTCCTCAGGCCCCGGCCTGGGCAGCGCCACCTCCTGCGCCAGAGGCTCCCCCAGCACCCGTCCTGCCTCGTTCCAGGCATCAGACCCGGTTCAGCCGCATCCAGAGGAGGAAGGACAGGTGGCCTGTGTCTCCTTTCGTGAGGGAGGAAACTCCCCCCGGCCCCCCAGCTGACCCCCTCCTGTGTTAGCCAGGTTTGTGTCACGTGTCCCATGCTCCAGCCAGCCAGCGGGCCGGGAGCAGCAGGCGGCCTAAGAAGCCCGGGAAGTAGGGAGAAGGTAGTTCCCCCAGCAGGTGGTTCTATGGGAAAGGAGAATGGAAGAGTCCACGTTACCTAGGCAACCAGTAGCGTTTGCTACAGTTGCCCACCCTACATTCCAGCTGTCCAGTGGGGAGGGACCATATGGTCACCAAGAATGGCCGTGGGTCCTTCTGGGAGGGTATGGGATGGGCCTGCCTACAGATCAAAACACCCTCTCAGCTCAAAGGGACTCTCAGCTTACTGAGGCGTATGCTCCATTCATTCATTAAAGAAAAATTGTAGGCTATGAATTTTCCTCTGAGTACGTTTTTATCTAAACTCAGAAACTTTCTGTGCTGGCCGTTTAGCTCCATTGGTTAGAGTGTCGTCCCATATGCCAAGGTTGTGGGTATATCCCCAGTCAGGGCATCCAATACAAGAGTCAACCAACGATGCATAAATAAGCGGAACTACAAATAGAAGCTTCTCTCTCTCTCTCTCTCTTTCTCTCTCTATCCATCAATAAACAATTTTAAACATGGAGTAACTTTCCCAACTGTGATTTCCTAAATATTTGATGGTTTGGGTGCTGATTCTTTATAACTCAACAGCTGATTAGGGGCAATTTAAAATGTTTTCAACTCGTCCAGGAAGTTCTTAGCGATGACCTTTCCCTGTGTCCTTCACTGTGGGACACATGCTGGTGGCGTGCCGCCATATTCTTGGGCCACGTTGGCTACAGGATCCCTAGAGCAAAACATATGCCCCACGCCCTGGCTGGTTTGGCTCAATGGATAGGGCGCCGGCCTGCAGACTGAAGGGTCCTGGGTTCGATTCTGGTCAAGGGCACATGCTCGGGTTGCAGGCTCGATCCCCACTAGAGAGTGTGCAGGGGGCAGCTGAGCAATGATTCTCTCTCATCATTGATGTTTCTCTCTCTCTCTCCCTTTCTGAAATCAATAAAAATTATATACTAGTACCCTGGTGCACAAACATTTATCAGCACAACACTGACCACATTGGTGGTGGTGGTGGTCTTGTCAGAATGTGTTATATTATGCAGATGAAAATCTATTTAAACAGATTTGATGTAGATATTTTCAAAGATGGAAGAATTGTCCCTGTCAACTATTTTAGTTGATTCATATCTTCAGTAATTGTCATCATTGCAAAGTTTTCAGTCCCCATATGGATTGCTGGATATAATAGGTCATGCGCTGTCCCTGTCCTTTGTAGCCTTTGTTACCTTAAGGACTCTAGTTTTCCATTTATATGTTTAAGTACCAACCTTACCGGCTTAAAAATGTAAGCTTTTAACACTGCTCTCTCTGTTCCGTATCCTTCCGATAAAAAGTGGAGTTGGGTTGCAGCACAGGAGAGAAATTCAGAAGGGGAATATTGAAGTAATGACTACAGTAGGAGAAGAGGGAACCTGTTTCCCTGGCCACAGGCGTTGGCGCCCTGGACCACAGGGCTGGTAGCTTCTCCGGGTGGCTGCAGCCTGGGACCTCGGGCAGGTGGCTTGTCCGTTTCTTGGGCTGCAGCCAGCCGCAGGCGCTGGCACCTGGACCAAAGGTGGGTGGCTTCTACTTCTGGGGGCTTCTTCGTCTTCTTCTGTGCTTCCAGGGAGGGCAGTCAGTTATGTGT